ATAGTATTAAGAAGTGAGCTCCTCTCTCATGAATAAAATTAGGTGTCCTTGCTGAGTGTGAAGACACAAGAAGACCTTCACCAGACATCAGATGCCAGTGCCTTGAACTTGGACTTTTCCAACCTTTAGAACAGTGAGAAAATAAATTTCTGATTTTTATAAATGATTTATAAAATGGACTAAGGCAATTTTTAGGGTCTTGCTCTATTGCCCAGGCTAAAGTACAATGGCATGATGCTCACTGCAACATGGATCTCTGGCTCAAGGGATCTCAACCTCCAGGGTAGCTGGGACTACAGGCACCCGCCACCATGCCCAACTATTTTTTTTTTTTTTTAATTTCTTGTAGCGATGGAGGCTCATTTTACCCAGGCTGGTCTGAACTCCCAGGCCCAAGCTATCCTCCTGCCATGGCCTCCCAAGTACTAGGTTTACAATTTTATATGATTTTATTTATATTATTTAAAACATAAGAAAAAATAATCTATGGTCACAGAGGTCAGAGAGTGGGGTTGATTGGGTTGGGGCACAAGGGAAATTTGGTCTGAGTGTTGGTTACATCTATGATAACCCATAAGCTGAGTAATTAAGTTTATGCATTTTACTTTATGTAAATGAAGCCTATATTTAAATAACAAGAAGGAAGTATCTCCTTGGATGCCTCCTGGCTTCCAGTTCACTACACTCAATCTTTTCTTTAGTGTTTTTCTTTTTTAATTGTGGTCTGCAGATTTGTCCTAATAATTGTTTTTTACCTATCCATGAGCATTAGAAATTCTTATATCAGTTAGAAAGTGCCAAGACATTGGACTCCTCTTGTTAAATAATATAGAAACAATTTAGGAGGCTTTCAGAATTTCAGACACAATCCTCTCTGGAATGAGGGAATCGCTGTGGCAGAGCATGACTTACAAAGTGAATTTTAACAAAACCCTTCATATGTCTAGACAGTTTTCAAACTGTCTCTGATTGGAAAAAACTCGAGTTCTTTTGTTTTCAAGCAAAATGTGGTGCGAGGGTCAATTAGGACATAGGTTTTTGGATGATTTCTTCCAAAAAACTATTTTAGATTCTTTCACAGATACTTTTTTCTCTGGATTGCAATGTCCGAGCGCTCCCAGAGACGGAGAACAACGTCCCCCTACGGTGGGTTTACCCGCCGCCGCGCGTCTCTCCTCAGCTGGGCCCAGCCTCGGCCGACGCTGCGGATTTGCCGAGCTGAGCATACAGGGAAGGGGGGAAATATAGAAAGTGATGTGGAAATTAAAATAGCAACTACACACGAATCTCAAAACGGCGCTTCACACGTGCGTGCGCGGGACCAGGCGCGCGGAGCCACCGCGGACGCGCCCCCCCGGAGCAAGGCGCAGGGAGGACGCGCGGGGCCGGCCGGCCGGAGCGGGCAGAGGCGGGTGGGCGAAGTGGAGGAAGAAAAGGAGAAAAGGGAGAGTGACGAAGAGGGCAAGGAAGAGCATCCTCACGATTGTTGGGATTTCGGTGGACGGGGAGGTAGAGCGAGCCTAAGCGCCTCCTCTCTCCGCCGTTTCCTCTGGATTTGACGGAGGAGCGAGTCCCCTTCGCCTCTAGGCGGGTGGGCTCCACCCAGAGGAGGGTCCGGTTCGTGTCGCCCGGCCGCCGCGGCTCCCAGAGCCTCACTGCCATTTCCGTCGCGGGACAGACAAGCTGGGCGCTTTCATGTTGCGTGTTTGTTTGCGGTTCAGGACCCGCTGACATCGGTGGCTCCTGAGGGAGCCACGCGGATTTCCCGATTTCCTGCGCGCGGATGTTGGGGATGGGCGGGATCTGCCGGCGGCTTTGAGATTGAGCACTACGGCGGAAAAGTCTCAGGTGTTAGGTTTTGCTTGAAATGCAAACAAAGTAAGATCCTGTTTGCTTGCTCCACACACTTGTAATTCTTAGAAGCCTACTGGAAGCCAGCTTTCTCCGGAAGAAACTCTTCTGGTGTTTGCAAGGAGGTTCTTCACTCAGTACATCTGCTCTTGACTCGAAGGAAGTCGGAGGCGCCGGACTGCGGCTGCGCAAAGGCAGAGTCTCCGCACACTCCGTGAGAACTGCCTGCGCGGCCACACGGAGTCCTAGCAGAGGCGCTGCGGCAACGCAGTGGAGATCCTTGCACGTCAAGTGGGTTGACCTCAAAATTGACTTTAGGGATGGCCTGTGACCACCTGGTAGACGGTGGAGAGTTACAGCTTTTGAAGAGTGAGAAAAAAAGACGATGCATTATGGAAGCCCTCCAGGTTGCTTGGCTTTTGTAGATGGAGAAAGAGGTTAATTTTCTGTTTTCTGGATATTTAGTATCTAGGTTTTCTTCTTTGATGGCATGAAATAGGGCTGAAAATAAAAAGAGATTTAAAAAAAAAAGATGGTATCGGCCGGGCGTGGTGGCTCACGCCTGTAATCCTAGCACTCTGGGAGGCCAAAGCCGGAGGATCGCTAAAGGTCAGGAGTTAGAAACCAGCCTGAGCAAGAGCGAGACATGGTCTCTACTAAAAATAGAAGGAAATGAATTGGACAACTAAAGAAAGTATAGAAAAAATTAGCCGGGCGTGGTGTCGCATATCTGTAGTCCCAGCTACTTGGGAGACTGAGGCAGGAGGATCGTCTGAGCCCAGGAGTTTGAGGTTGCTGTGAGATAGGCTGACACGACGGCACTCACTCTAGCCTGGGCAACAGAGTGAGACTCTGTCTCAAAAAAAAAAAGATGGTATTAAGATGCTTGCAGAGTATCATCCTGTGAATTTCTCCTTAGCACTGTGATAACCAGAATCTGAAACTGTGCAAACAGCTCTGATCTGAAGATAGGAGTTGTTCAGTACTTTAGAAGGAGGATATTTCTGGAGAGTAAGTAGAGTGAGGTTGAAAATAATTCACTGTGTAAAAGACATCTTATAAAAAAGACATCTGCACTCAAATATTTATAAGTAGCACAATTCACAATTACAAAAATGTGGAAGCAACCAAAGTGTCCATCAATACATGATTGCATTAATAAAATGTGGTATATGTACACCATGGTGTACTACTCAGCCATTAAAAAAAATGGTGAACCACCTATTGTATTATCCTGGATGGAATTGGAGCCCATTCTTCTAAGTGAAGTATCACAAGAATGAAAAAACACCAATGTACTCACCATGAAATTGGTACTAATGGATCAATGCTTATGTACACATACGGGAGGTAACATTCATAGGGTGTCCAGCAGGTGGGAGAGGGTGGGAGAGGATGGGTAAATGCACATCTAAAGATGCGGTGCGCACTGCCTGGGATCTGGCATGCTCGTAGCTCTTACTTCTGCCGTGCGAAGGCAATTTATGTAATCCAAGCGTTTGTACCCCCATAATACTCTGAAATTTAAAAAAGGAAATAATTCACTGTGATTGGGAGAATAAAAGTTCATTATTTGTATTCATGAAAAACACAGAAATGAGCTTTCCCCTACACTGATCTCAGACCCTGGAGTTCAGAGAGCTTGGCATTTCAGATCAGAAACTTCCTTAGAAGATCCAGAGAAGTACTATCTCCCTATACCAAATTTCAGCTGAGGTGACTGCTATCTTTTCCTCATTTGTCATATTTGTAGTTAAATGGCTTAAGCTCCAGAATTTGTGGGTCTCCTCTGACAGAAAAAGTGACCACCAGCATATCAAATTGCTAACCACTGGCAGTAAAATGGAGTGAAATATTTTGGTGAAATCTGACAGTGCTTCTGCAACCTGGGTTAGTAAGGAACCTTTAACTTTAAGAATCTGAAATCAGATTTTGTCCAAACAGCTTCTTGATGTTTTCACATTATGGATAATGTGGAAATCAACTGATAGCTAAGAATACTACTTCCTTCCCAGTGTAAATATTTGCTCTGTGACACCTGGTAGTGACTTGTGGGAATGCTTGGAGAGAGTAGATGGGAATATGAATTACATCCTAGTGTCCCAAAGAGGTTGAGAAACAAATACAAAAGGCCAATAGAACTCAGTTTACCATGATAGAATATTTTTGATGCTTGGGAGAAATTTTATGGAATGGTTCTTATTATAGAAGGCTCTGGGAGGTTGGGGAAGAAAACAGACTAGATGTACTAGGGATTGAACCCAGGACCTTGACACATGCTAAGCAGCTACACCAAAAGAAAGGAGCCTTAATGGTAAAAAGGTACTGCTCTTGATTTGTGGTCAGCCCACGATCAACCCACCCCAAAGTTTGTTCCCCATCATATTAGATTGCCTAGAGCATGCTTTCATTCTATCACTTGAGTACATCCTGGCATATAAAATTCATCTGGAACTTTTCTTATTATAAGTTTCTGTATTCTTTTAACTCTTGAAAACATATTAGTCTTTGACATAGTCAAAAACTAAAACTGACTCAAGTGTGTGTGAAAATACCCTACAATTCAATATAAATATAAACAAGTCTAACTGCATTTCAAAAGAATAACATAACCACATTGAAGAGAAAAGGAACTGATCTTTCAGAAATAGTGAAGTTGACAGAACTCCCTTCCCTCTTATTCATCAGGAAAGATGGGCACAGATAGTAACGGGTTTGAAATTATAACAGCCCTGAAAACCCTTTAATAGGGCTATCAGTAGACCAGAAATTTTGAGCAATGCCAGGGAAATAGAAAGTAGAAGTGATTAGATGAACAAGCAACAGCAGAGTAAATGGCTGCTCTTTCACTATGGTGAACATGTCTTAGACATTTGTGAACTATTAAGTATTTGTCTTTTGGCAGGGGGACAGGTAATAATTTCCATTTTGACACACATACTGAAAAAGAATAGTTTGACACTTCATGATAGCAACATGTTTGATGTTAACTGACATTTCCAGGTATGGTTTTATTTAGAGATTTAAAAAAAAAAAATAGCACACCAGGATGTGTAGGTAAGAAAGAAAGAAAAGGAAGGAAGAAAGAAAGAGAAAAGAAAAGAAGAGGAAAGGAAAGAAGGGAAAAATAGAATGAGTGATACAAAAAAACATGAGCCAGGCAGGGTGGCACTGGCCTGTAGTCCCAGGTACTCAAGAGGCTGAGGCGGGAGGATCATATGAGGCCAGGTGTTGGAGGCCGCAGTATACTATGATTTCACCGGGGAATAGCCACTGTACTTCAGCCTGGGCAACACAGAGAGACCATGTATGTAAAAAAATAAGGAAAAGAAAATTAGACAGTATGAAATGGCAACTTGGCACATGTAATTTAATTCACCTAAAGCAGATTTTTTTTTTCATCTTTCACGTTTGGCAGGACTCTAGTTTCTTGGTAGCCATCACTTTGTGGTAGCATCTACCCACTCATTCACCTAATATTCACTGCCCCTTGTGGCTTATTGTTGGACCAAACTTTTGGCAGTGGGGAAAGAAGATGAGTAGACAAATCAATAGGAGTACTTTTGGATTCTTATCCTAAGAACTTCACAGAAAACAAAGAAAAATGAATCAATTTTTCCTTTATCCTCTTTTTTCCCATCCATCCTTTTTCTGTTTTTCTTTCTCTCAATAATCGTGAAAATTGAAGCCAAAATGACAAGTTTGTTATTATGGTGGCACACTTGTTTGGGGATAAGGGGGTCTTATGTGTAGTAGGCTGAATAATGTCTCCTAAATATACAATGCTCCAATCCCTGGAACCTACAAATATAACTTTATATGAAAAAAGTGTTTTTGTTGGTGTGATTACATTAAGGATCTTGAGATGAGGCGGTTACCCTGTATTATCTGGGTGGACCCAGTGTAATCAAAAGTGTTCTGGCCTGGCGTGGTGGCTCATGCCTGTAATCCTAGCACTCTGGGAGGCCCAGGCAGGAGGATTGCTCAAGGTCAGGAGTTTGAAACCAGCCTGAGCAAGAGCGAGACCCCTTCTCTACCTAAAATAAAATTAGCTGGGCAACTGAAAATACATAGAAAAACTTAGCCAGGCATGGTGGCACATGCCTATAGTCCCAGCTACTCGGGAGGCTGAGGCTGGAGGATTGCTTGAGCCCAGGAGTTTGAGGTTGCTGTGACCTAGGCTGATTCCATGGAACTCTAGCCCAGGCAACAGAGTGAGACTCTTGTCTCAAAAAAAAAAAGTGTTCTTATCAGAGAGAAGGAGAGATTTCACATATGGAGGAGAAGGCTATGGACGCAGAGATTGTGGTGATGCAGCCACAGAAGCTGGAAGCTTCTAGTAGCCACCAGAAGCTGGAAGAGACAGGACAGATTCTCCCCTAGAGCCTCCAGAGGGAGCATAGTCCAGCCAACATATTGATCTTGTCCTAGTATTATAGTCACACATTGCTTAACAATACAGATACATTCTAAGAAATGTATCATTAGGTGATCTTGTCAATGTGTGAACATCACAGAGTGTACTTACACACACCTAGATGGTATAGCCTATTGCTCCTAAGGCTATAAACCTGTATGGCATGTTACAGTACAGTAACAGTACATGCCATACAGTACATGTACAGTAACATGCCATACAGGTTTATAGCCTTAGGAGCAATAGTAAGTATTTGTGCATCTAAACATATGTAAACATAGAAAAGATACAGTATAAATATGGTTTTTAAAAAATTTTAATGGTGCACTTGTATAGGATACTTACAATGAATGGAGCTTACAGGACTGGAAATTGCTCTTGGTGAGTCAGTGAGTGAGTGGTGAGTGCATGTGAAGGCCTAGGACATCACTGTGTACTACTGTGGACTTTATAAACGCTGCACACTTAGGCTATATTAAACTTATAAAATATGCTTCTTTCTTAAACAAAAATTAACCTTAGCTTACTGTAACTTCTTTTACTTTATAAACTTTTCAATTTTTTTTAACTTTTTGACTCTGTGTAATAACTGTTAGCTTAAAACACAAACATACAGTACAGCTGTACAAAAACATTTTCTTTATATCCTTATTTTATAAGATGTTTTCCATTTACAAAAATTGTTTATTTTTTACTTTTTAAACTTTTTTATTAAAAACTGAGACTCAAACACATGTATTAGCCTAGGTCTACATATGGTCAGTATCATCAATGTCACTATCTTCGACCTCCACATCTTGCCCCACTGGAAGGTTTTCCGGGACAATAACACGCATGGAGCTGTCATCTCCTATGACAATAATGCTTTCTTCTGGATACTTCCTGAAAGACTTGTCTGATTTATGGTTAACTTCTTCTTTTTTTTAATTTCAGCATATTATGGGTGTACAAATGTTAAGGTTACGTATGTTGCCCATACTCCCCTCCCCCCTATGGTTAACTTCTTTATAATAAGTAGAAGAAGTACACGCTAAAACAACAATAAAAAGTATAGTAACCACATAAGCCAGTAGCATAGTCATTAATCATCATTACCAAGTATTATGTACTCTAAATAATTGCATGTACTATGCTTTTATACAACTGGCAACTCAATATGTTTGTTTACATCAGCATCACCACAAACACATACTGTGACCTGACCACTACAATGTCACTAGCCAATACAAATGTTTCAATCCATTATAAATTGGGGGGGGGGGCGGAGTCTCACTCTGTCGCCCAGGCTAGAGTGCTATGGCATCAGCCTATCTCACAGCAACCTCAAACTCTTGGGCGCAAGCAATCCTCCTGCCTCAGCCTCCCAAGTAGCTGGGACTACAGGTATACATCTTTAGTATTTTTAGTAGAGATGGGGTCTTGCTCTTGCTCAGGCTAGTCTTGAACTTCTGACTTCAAGCGATCCCCCTCTCAGCCTTCCAAAGTGCTAGGATTACAGGCATGAACCACTATGCCCAGCCTTAGCCAATTATAATATTATGAGACCACCATAGGATGTGTGGTCTGTGATCGACCAAAACATTGTTATGCTGCACATGACTGTATTCATTTCAGACTTCTGACTTCCAGAAGTGTGAAAGAATAAATTTCTGTTGTTTTAAGCCACTTAATTTGTGATAATTTGTTGCAGCAGCAAGAGAAAATTAATCAACTACACAAGTTTCTTCTACTCTGCCAGCTGCCTTAAGTGGTTTTGAGGCTCATGAAATTTAAGTACTGTAGCATTGAAATGAATGTCTTGGGTCATATGTTTACTCCTCTTGTGACCATGCAATGAAAAAAGAATAAGATACCTGAGGGTGTATTTCACTGGTGAGTACTTGGGAAATCAAGGGTTAGAGGCACTGGGAATCAAACCTGAGGCTTCCTACATGTGGGGCATGCATTCTGTCACCAAGCTACATCCTCTCATGCTGGGAGCACTTTTTGTACTCCTTCAGAAAATATCTCACTATATTTGTGAGCTCCCATTTCTGTGTTCATTGTTTTAGTACTGTTGGGTGTAGAAGCAGGATTTGTGACTGCTTTAAGATAGAAAGCCCCAGTAAGCTGTGGAGGATACTTTATTTTAGCAAATAAAACTTGAAATAGAAGGTAAAATATCGAAAACTTATTACATCAGAAAATTGACCAGCTTTTCCTAGATAAAACACGCTTTTTTTTTTTTTTTTTTTTTTTGAGAGTCTCTGTTGCCCAGGCTAGAGTGCCATGGCATCAGTCGAGCGCACAGCAACCTCAAACTCCTGGGCTCAAGGAATCCTTCTGCCTCAGCCTCCCGAGTAACTAGGACTACAGGCATGTGCCACCATGTCCCACTAATTTTTTCTATATATTTTTAGTTGGCCAATTAATTTCTTTCTACTTTTAGTAGAGACAGGATCTCGCTCTTGCTCAGGCTGGTTTTGAACTCCTGATCTCAAGTGATCCTCCCGCCTCAGCCTCCTAGAGTGCTAGAATTACAGGCGTGAGCCACCACGCCCAGCCAAAACACTCTTGCTATGGTTGTTTGCTCAATAAGAATATTAAGAGCAAAACTTTGATGGGAAATCCCCAGGTCTGAATAAATACCACATGAAATTTGTTATTCATTACCAAGGATCTCTTCATTTTAATACAGCATGAAGGCAACTAAGGAGATTCGCAAAATAGTCCAGAATATTGCTCAAGGCATGAACTAAATAGCAGATTCAGGGAGGGAGAAAAGGTTGAAATTCTGAGAGTAAGTTAATAGGTAGCTAGACATGAGATTGAGAGACTTACCAGATTTATAGAGCAAAGAAGAAAGTGGGGAATACATAAAAGAGAGCCCAGTTATTCATTCAACAAACAGGAGGAAAAGCGGAAAAGAGAGGTTTATTGTTGTTCTTCGGAGGAATGGAACAGATATTAGGAGAAGGAAATGAATTTGTTTTTGGAATGTTGAATTACCATATTCTTCTATATGATCCTCCCTGTCAGTGAAGCACAGTGAACTCATCCAAGTGCTCTGCTCTGAATAAGTGGAGGTGTGAGTGGTTAGAAGGCACCTATAGAGAGAGATGAGTAGAATCAGAACTCAAAGTAAACTTTGGGAGTTGAAAATCAGGAATTCATCTACTGGTAGCTGTGAAAAGCAAAAAAGTGAACTTCCTGCACTGATCTTGAACCCTGGAATTCACAATGGTTATCACCATGGCTTTCAAACTTTCATAGAAAACCCAGAAAATCTCATCTCCTGGTACCAGTAAATGTCATCTCTTCCTCATTCATCTTTGTCTAGCAGCATGCGTTTGCATATATTAGCAAGTGTATCACTGATCCACATTTGTAGTTGGAAGCACCTTATTGATTTGGTGGAATTTCTCTCTCAGTTGGCTCATGGGGCTAGTAGAATAGGTAAGAGGAAACAGAAATGGCAGTTTTCACTGACATTGGATATTAAAGAAGTGTCACCCACTTCTTTAATTCTGCAAACTCTGATGTGTGTTTGTGTGTGTGCGCGTGCATGTGTGTGTGTTTGTGTGTAAGTGCTAGGAGGATGAGAGGAAATTATCTAGGCTGTTCGATGGTGTGAAAGTACAATTATGAAAGTTTCCAGAGGCATCAAGTGATTATCCTCTAAATTGCACCTGGAGAAACCTAGATACCAGTTAGACTACGAGAAGTTCCTCACAAGGAAGTTTTGTTTTGTTTTTATGTTTTTCCCAAGGTACACTGAACATTGTGAGAATTGTTTATTAATTTTATGTCATAGCATGCAGATTCTCTGGTTATAGCATTGTTGAAATCTCTCTCTATGGGGAAGTAGTAGGATGAATTCTAAATATATAAGATTCTTCTGATGATCTAACCATTTATCTCAGGAGATAGAACCATTCATACCCAATTATTAGATTGTAACTGGTCGAGTACTATTTTTTAAAAATTTACAGATCAGAAGGGTGGGGGCATAGTTTTCATGTAATAATCTTTTACATTATGCTTTAGAATTTGAATTCACACTCATGATTTTCTCTGGCATTTACATCTCAATTTGTTGACATGAACATAAAGGTCTGGTTCTATTGCTCTAAGTCTTCCACCTTGATTTAACATGAAGGAACGATTCCTGAACTAGACAGCAAAGGATTAAATAATGTTTTTTCTTCAACTAAATATGTCTTTGAAAAGAATAAAGCACTACCTTTTGAGTCAGAGTAACTACGTGGCCTCATGGATAGTGTTTGCTTCCACATGTCCAATGGTCCTGCCCAACAGTCTGTCACCTCTCACACATTCACCCAGGGTCTCACACCCACAGCCACATCCCCCTTCCTTTCAGCTCCTTGATCTTTAATTTTTCCCTAGAGAAAACTAAACAAAAGATGATCCTGTTGAAGGATAGAACCCCAAAATAAAACATAGCTGAATTTCCAAAATTCATCTACAATGTACCTCAAAATGAGTCACTATTGTCCTGGGTCAAAGTTAGGTGCATTTTGCTCTCAAAAAAATACCTCAGTCAGTCATATGTCATTTGTTTTTGTGGATCCAGATTTTTAAAAAATCTTCTTGTATTCCCTACAGCTTTCTCATATTAAATTCTTGGCTTTTGCATCCTATCCATTTCTCCCTTAAATTACAGAGGTGGAATTCCTTGGTAAAGTCCATTGTTGGAAGTGGAAAAAAAAGTATTTCCATTTGGGCCTGAGTCCTAACATAATACAGAAAAGCAATCGTAATAATTCATGGTATTCTTCCTCATGTTTTGATGATATTCCTTTTGCAAACTGATGAATTTGCATGTTTGAAGCCTGTGAATAAATTTTCCCTGCCACAGTGGATATATGTGGCAAACAGATATTGTGGAACTGTACTTTGAAAACAAGAAAGGAGCGAGAAAAATTGTCAACAGAACAGAAAATGACCTATTTCCCACATCGAGAAAGTCTGATTCCTCACTACTAGCTCTGAATCTTTCTTTGGAGAAGAATCTCAAAATTAAGACATCTTACTTTGTGAAAGAATGTCTCTTGGAACTTGTTTTCTCCTTTGAAAATTCCCTAATCACTTCACAGGGTGACAGGTGGCATGACATTATATTGGGAACCAGTGGTTTCCCAATTCTTGCTGCATCCTTCAGTCCACACTTTTATGGGGGTCATTAAGGGTTTTGGATTTTCAAAATCTATCACAGGACTTAGAACACAAAAGGGTGTTAATACAAAAGTTCTTGAAGATTTAGTGGTCGCTGATGAGGATGGGAGGCAGCTCTGAGTTTTGAAATGATTACAAGATCTTATCCTATTTAAAGTGTTTCAGAACAGAGACAAAAACACAAACTTCCCAGTTCACATTAGAAGTTAGCACAGTCTTTATTGCAAAACTTGAAAAATTTTTATTAAAAATAAAATGAAAACTTCACATAATATTTAATCATATATAGTCATTCAAAAAATGGTTCAGCAATAGAAATACATTTTTGCAATTATTTTTCTACATTAGAATAAGAAATTGGAAAAAATTGAATATAGCCATATAGGTATAATACCTACCCTTTTAATACACGTCGTAGTGTTTCTTAAACTTTAATGTGCAAAGGAAACACTAGGGAATCCTGTTGAACGGTTAATAATTCCAGCTCAGTAGGTCTGGGTGGAACTGAAATTCTGCAATTCTAACACCCTCTCAGGTGTTACCAACTTCTGTGCTATAAGGACCATATTGACCAAGCGTCTGGAAAATTTCTTTCCGATAGAGGGCGCAGCTGTATTGGATAAAATTACTTCTGGTACATCATCTAGGAAAGTTAAGTCTCCGTTAATAGTGAAGACAAAACAAAACTGGAAATCCATCTATGAACTTTGAGATCTTCAGCTGACTGTGATTCCCAATGGAACTATTTCGGCTCTGCATTCATTGATGAGAATAACTTTCTCAATTTACTAGTTTGGAAGGCTCTGCGTTTTTCCTTGTTCAGCCTGCAGCCTGATCATGGCCAACCACAGCTCAGAAAACAAACAAACAAACAAACAAACACCTAAAAGGAATTGTCTGAGAGCTTATCTTTTTCTTTTGTTAAATCTTTACATCCTTATCTTTTATTTCCTGCTTTTAAAGTAATAATACTGCAAAACAGAACCAAAGGTGAATGGGCGCTTGCAGCTTTGGGATCACGAGCTGAGTCTTTGTCTTTTAGCTTTCCATCTTTTCCTCTTTGTGCTTACGCACGTACCCTGAGTGGTGCCAAGCCCGAGGAGTAGAAATGGAACAGCACTAATATTAATGGCAAATCGTTGCAAAATAGGCTGCGCAAGGAAAAAGGAATAAAACAATGAAAAATGCCCCAAAAAGTGGAGGTGCCGGGGATTGAACCCGGGGCCTCGTGCATGCTAAGCACGCGCTCTACCACTGAGCTACACCCCCCCGGCAAAGATACACTCTCGGGATTATATTCAAGACTGAACATCACCATTTGCTATATTTTGAAAGTAGCAAGAGGCTAAATCCATTCTGTCTAATTGGCTATTTCTAAAATCTTAAACTTAGGTCCTGTGTGCCGCTTCGCTGACAGACGAGCAAACTGCATTCTAGACCCAAAGCCTCTAACGGTGGTCCTGGGATCTGGAAAGACTCGTCAGTCGGAGTCACTTTTCTGACGCCACTAGACAAGCCCGGGATGAAATGTTTTCTCTCGTATCTTCCCTCTCTCGTCTCTTTCCACGCAGCTTTAAAAGGGTGCAAGAAAGCCACGAAAGTATAGTGCTAGGGATACAAAAATGAAGACGATGTTAGATCCGCGCGTGGAGAGAAGGCAGGAGGACAAACGCAGAGCGGTTCGCGCCGGTCGCAGCCGCCCTCCCTCGGGCTGGGCGGGAGACCCGGCGAGGCTCGGAGCGGGACGCGCGGGGACAGGAGGATGCGCCAGCTCTGTTCGCGCCCCTTCTCGGCAGAACCCTCTCCCCGGCCGGGAGAGCACTCGGAGGGAGATGTGACCGCGGGGCTTCCCTCGCATTCGAATTCGCGATTCGGGAAGCCTTGGGCTCATCCGGCCTAGTCCACCGGCTTCATTCTCTGAGGCTCCGGGCCTCCCTCTTCAGCCCGACACCCCGACAGAGCCTCAGCTAACACTGGGGAGTCGCTTACATGGGCAGACAGGATAAGGGATGTGATAAATAACAGGATTTTTCCAATCCTATTATTTGCCAATCAGAGATTTAAAAGGACGTCAATCATACTTGAATGAGTTTTTGAAGCTAGTCTGCAGAGGGTCGCATATGAAAAAGAATAAATTGAGATTTTTCAGAAAAATAGGGATCCCTGGCGCCCTACCGGAAATGATCAAAGGGAGAGGGGAGAGGCTGGTGAGGGTGTCTGGGCCCGAGATGCCTCTGCCCACCCACCACATCATTTTGTAGTACCTATGAAACATTAATGAGAACTGACCACATCTTAAGCTACGAAAAAAATCTCAATAAATTCCAAAGATTAGAAATAATGCGAACAGTATCTCTATGATCATGCGCTAAAACTAGAAATTAACAAAATAAAAAATAAAAGCCCCTACCACCTGAAGATTTTAAAACATGCTATAAAATAACTCTTGAGGCAAAAGGGAAATACAAAATTTAATCATATGACTTTTTGAAAAGGATGCAAATGCCAACGTACCATATCAGAATCTATGAAGGAAAGCTAAAGCATTCAGAGAGACACCTGACAGGGAATGGCCATGTGATAATGGAAGCAGAGATAGGAGTGACAGATCTACAAGCCAAGGAAAGCCAAGCGTTGCCGGCAAACACCAGAAGTTAACCATCCCTCTATAGGTTTCAGATGGAGCTTGGCTCGGCTGACATCTTGATTTCAGACTCCCAGCCTCCAGAACTGCAAGAGAATAAATTCATGTTGTCTTAGCCAAACAAACAAACAAACAAACCGAAAAGCTAAAGTATTTATAGTAAGAAAAACTATTCCCTTACATATCTATATCATTAACAATGAAAAAATAATATAAATGAATCAAACACTTAGCTCAAGAAGCTAGACAGTGAACAACAAAATAAAC